AACGAGGACGCCCCTGTCCTGCCACACTGCTGACCGAACTGCCAGTGATAGGCTCTCTGCTCTTATTCTCATGGAGAGGTAGGGTCTAATGTCTCTCCTCTTGAATGTGGGCTGGTGTGAGTGGCTTATCTGATCAATAGAATCCAGCAGAAGTGACATTCAAAGTTAGATCCCAAGAAGTCTTGCAGTTTTAGAATGTCTGCTTTGGGCAAGCTCCCTCTTAGGACCAAGCTGCCGAGGTTTGAAAAGCCGTAGGTACACAGAGAAGCCACAGCAGGTGCTCTGGACAACAGCCCCAGCTGCTCCAAGTCAAAAGTGAGCATCACTGCCAGCCACAAATGTGAGCTACCTTGGACATCCATCCCAGTCAAGCCTTCAGAGGACTCCAGCCCCGGCTGCTGTCTGCTTGTAACCACAGGGAGATCACAAGGGAGAAAAAGCCCAGCTGAACCAGTCAATCCACAGAACCATGAGATAATAAATTGCTGTTTGAAGCCACTAAGTTTTAGGATGACTTTGTGTAGCCATAGATAACCAGAACGCCTCTCCTCTGTGATGGAGAAACACTGAAATCACTCCCATGAATTAGGAAGGAGGGGAGGAGGGTGGACAGGAAGCCAGATAGTGAGCAGGTGTGTTGGCAGTAGGGAGGGTTACAATTTTAAATGCACTCGGTATTGGGCATGAGTTTAAATGGAAGGGCTGAAGAAATGACTTTCGTCTAGGAAAGAAACCACCAAGTTACAAAAAACTTGGTTAAATAAATACACAGTGCCAACTATATTTACATAAAATCCTATAAATCCACACATCTATAACAGACATACTCACGGTATGCCACATTACAGCATTTAAAAACAGTATTCCCATTTACTATTCTGACAAGCAAAGCATATGAGTTGCACTAATGGGAAACAATGCAATATGGGGGTCCTCTGAGTTGCTCCTATAGTGCTGGGTCTGACTGAAGCATCCCAAAGCAAACATTTATACTGCTTAGGGATACACTCAGATGTAACAAAAAGTATAAAGATGTGCGTGGAAATGAAAAACACCAATTTCAGGATAGGGTTATCTCTTGGGCGATGAGGGAGCTAAAGGCTATTGGGACAGGTACATGAGGGCCTCCACCTGCATTTGTCAAGTTTGACATCGTAAGCTAACTGGTAGGCACACGGGTCTTTGTATCCTTTTGCTCTTCAGAATCATAAACATTAACTGCACCTGAATGTGATGCCAAAAAAAAGACGAGTAATAAAAACTTGCCTGAAAAATGGCACCTGGTACATGGCTATACAAACAGGCATAAAAACATCATGTATATGGGAATTACCATAATAATGGAAATATAGGTGACAATATTAAGGTCACACTTACTTGCAGGGGACAGCAACTAAGATTGTTCTTCATGCTACGCTTTTCCCAATGGTGATATTCTCACCAATCCCTTTCAGCACCATTGACATGAGCGTATCAATTCTTTTTCCCACTTAAAATGAATATAAACCCCCATAAGCATTAGATACTTTTGTACATATATACATGCAAATGTGCATATGCGTGTCTCAATGGAAAAATACAAATATTATGAAAGGACTATTGTTCAAAAAGCATGTTCACTTATCTTTCCAAAAATTATTATAGAATACTACTATTTTTCATAAGTATATAAGTACTTTTAATAATATGAGCTTTATAAGACAGAGGTTCATACTTTTTTTCTGCTTAATATTATTTCATTTCTTTTCAATGTAGATTTTCATGCCAAATAAATTGATCATCATATTTATATCTTCCTTGAAATCAGTCACGCCACCATTTGTACTTCCTTATCTGATGACCTTAAGATCAAAGGATCACAAACTAAGGATCTCAGCCCCCTCAGGGTTTCAACTCTCTATTCCACTAGATGCATAGAAGACAGTTCATACACACTTATTTTGTTGAACTAGGAACTGCAACCTAGAGACCACATGGCATTACATGCTATTTTTCTCTTAAAGTAACAGCAACACAGAGATAACAATAATGTACTCAGAGATAATATGTCAGTTTTTAAAGTCACTGGGAACCTAATTGGAAATGAGTAGTGGTGACAGGCCCTCTCCCCTCTCCCCCAGTTACTGAGAGCCTCTGCTGTGGCTGACAGTGATAGCCAATCACATCTCCTACAGGGCTGAGCTCCTGACCCAAGACGGGGAAGGGTAGAAAGAAACAGAAGGTATATATATTTTGTGCAGACACCTGAGGGTTTAGGTCTCTGTCAACACCCCTACAACTTCTAGCCTAATTTAGAAAGTAGAAAACCAGCTTATGGAAAAAACACACACACACAGAACCTTTTAGACTTAGAATTTGTAGCCCCCAGTCTCAGCATCTAGTTTAGTCTTGAACTGTGCTAAATACATCACTACTGTTAAGTGTGAATCTACAAAAATGCTCAAAAAACTGAAATCGAATTTTTTACAGTGCTCTGAACTAAATGTGCAAAAAATGAGTTAAAAAATAGTTCGATTTACCCCTTCACATGTCAATGAAACAGAAGAGTGTTTTTTAATCTCTTCAGTTACAGATTTTTTAATATAAAAATAATTAATGGGATTAATTTTATTCCCTTTTTCCTCTAAAATCTTCCATCAAATTAATTAATACTATCATTTTGTGTTTGTTTTTCTAAAAAAATATAAAACAAAACAGACTATTAGTTTTGCCAAGTGCTATGAAGGTTATGAGACAAAGATCTTTCTGCATATTTTCCATTTTTGTAGAAAACAGATTACAAAACAGAAAAAGCCTCCTTCAAAGAAATGAGCAGCTTTGATTACAAGTGCAAAAGTCAGCCATGTGTACTAATTCTCAGTAATAATGAAGCAAGGTGAGCTCCCCAGGGACTTAAAAGTCAAAGCCTGGAAATGCTTGGGTGAACTAAGAAGGCGAACTACTCATGTGACACAACTTTTCAAAACCCTTTGTATTCCCAATTGGACAGACAAGACTGTGGGACTCACAAGGACTTTCTAAGGTGTGTGACTGGCTTAGGTGATGGGGAAAACTCTGTCACAGCTTGCAAAGACAGATGCTGCTGCTATTAAAAAAAAAACCACAATGAAAATGGACTCATCCATCCCACCACTCAGAGATCTAAAGGGGCCTGGATTGCTGGCTACCTACAGGATTGCTTACCTGAAAAATAAACTCTTACTTCTTAAAGCCATGACTGGAAAAAAAAAAAAAAAGGCAAAACAGGAGGCTTGAAACACTAAGGGCCACTGTCTACCAGCCTTTGAGATGAAGGATGGCAAACCTCATTTCACAGATATTTTAAGTAGCTGTAAAGCCCAAGTGGCTCCAATTTTAAGCCTGTGTTTAGATCAGGTTTGAAAAAGGGCTGCACCTCTTTACAATAACTAGGCACCACTTCTGATGCCAATCTGGGCTTTGTGTTTGAAATGGGCAACCACATATGAGAAAACAAGACCACCTACGGTAGACAATACGTGCCACAACCGATCTCCTTGGCACCCAGACCCATGTGCAGGCAAAATGCTTTCATGAAAAAGAAAATAAACCTCAAGATTATTGCCAAAATCTTGAACAGTATCACATAATTAATTTCACATTTTAAATTCTTACACAGGTATATAATCATGTATTTTCAGTAGGTTTAAAATCTGACTTTTTAAAAAAAAAAAAAAAACCCACCTGACCTACCGAAATGCCCTGCTACCTTGGGTCATTTGGAACACCCTGCAGGACAAGCTTGAGGCTGTCTATGGATGTGCCTGTTTAAAATTAGAAATCCAGTTACTCAAATGGAAACTGTAGTTTTATTTAAAATGAAGAGCAGTTTCTGCAACTCCTCATGTTCTTTTTGATTATTCCTGTGTGCCCTTTTTATTTAGGACATTAAAGCCTCCCCTTTTCATCCAGAACGCTCCTAAAGTTACAGGACAAGGGGATCCTACCTGGCCGTCTACGACAGGTCAGTGATCAAACAGAAAGAGAGGCAGGCAGTTGCCCAATCCCGTCTACCTTAAGAATCACCAGAAGTTAGGGCTTAGCTCCTGCTAAATACAAGGAACCCCCATTCAACGTTAGACAGGACAATGAGCCCTTTCCAAACAAAGGTTTAATATTTCCAGGTATGTGCCCAGCTTCCAAACTCAATGATTTTCAAGGAAAGATTATTTTATGAATACCATTGCCTGAACAGAATAAGCTAATTAAAAAAAGTGACCTCATCTTTCTTATAAGAAAAGAAACATAGGTTTAGATGGAAAATATACCAATATTGTATTGCCCTAGTGATCAAAGCCCATTTATTTAACCAACCTTATCTTGAAATAGTACCATTCTTTGTATGAGTTTAATTTACTTAAAATGTGTTTACATTCACATGAACAAACCTGTACATGAGATAAAACAAGACATGTTTTGCTGAGCTTAAGAACAAGATGCAGGTTGTTATCCTTGTAAAGAAATACTCATTCCAAGCGTTTTTGACAATGCAGAGCGCACTCAGCCAGTTATTTCCCAGCATCCCCTCTCCAGGAGCACCGGGAAGCTTGAGGCGCTGCTGGCACGTGGCAGGTAAAGCAAAGCAGAGCTATGGCTGCGGACTTCAAACTACAAACTTTAGTGCCTGACCCAGCAGAGGTGCCATGAAGAAAGAAGGTAATAAAAATTAACTTTAGAAAAGGTTAGCAAAGATTTCTCAAAGGCCAAATGCTTCTGCCACAAATGACGTCTACTGCAGGACCAAATGCAAGCAATGACAAGTTTAACAGGCATGTCTGAACAGGCAGTAAGAAAAGAAACATTTACCCTTCCACCTCAGGAATGGTTCTCCTGTCTAGGAAAAGCCGAGGAGCCCTAGTAGACTCTGCCCTTGTACAGGATCTGTGGTTGAACAGAAGCCTTAGTCCACACATGTTTACCACAGTGGTGATATGTCTGTGAAACAAGTCTTTTCAATGAAGAGATCTGCAAAAGATACTTACACAGCCTCCAGCAAGAATTTCTGCTGCAAGTGGGACCGAACCATCTTTGTGCATACATTTATCCCTCACAAAATCATTCACCTTGAAGAAAAATATTTATAGAAGCTGATGAAAAATATAAAGAAAGTCATTAAACACATATAAATACACGTCTGTAAATGTTATTTTTTCTGTCAGTTTATTAGAGTAATCACAAGCTAAATAAATTAAAGATCTTAAAAGGGTTTGTTTGAGAAGTGCTCTCAATAGCACATATATAGTTTTTAAAAGGTTACAAATACAGGGTGCCAAAAAAATGTATACACATTTTATGAAAGGAAAAACCTATTAAAATTGTAATACTCAATATAGACTGATAACAAAAGATGAATACAAGTCACGTTTGACTTCTGCAATTACAAGAGGTGCTCAAAGTGGTTACCATCAGCATCCAGACACTTCTGATTACAGCAAACTGTTGCTTGAGCAATGTTGACCGAAGTGTCCACTTATATATATATTTTGGAACCCCTGGTATACACACACACACACACACACACACATTCCTGATATTTCAGGGGTAAAAAATTAAAAGATAGATAACTTACAAGCCTAAAATTCAAATATGTCCTATGATTATAACAGCATAAAAAGAGAGACATATTGACAAAGAGACAAAATGAAAACATACGCTTTTATAACTTAAAAACTGTCTCATGGGTTTGATTAAAAATCACTTTTAAGTCTTCTAACAAGATTTAATCTAAAATAACACTCATCATTGAGACAAATTTGGCTGAGCATATTTTTCAACTTAGTCAAAGCTCAGTATCTAAAAATTTTCTCAAGGATTCTCAAAGAACATCAATAGCATTAATTAATTAATTAAGTATAATATTCTTAAAATGGTTATGTACTACAAGCAGTTTTGAGGATCAATCATACGTGCTTGGATGATACACGCCAAAAAAGATCAGCTGTCCCAAGGTCATATAATAAGATGGTAAGAGAAGACTTCCAGGGACCAAGGCTGCCCGGCACAATCTAAAAGTAGAGCTTAGCTTTCTGGGCTTCACGTCCTTGTTGACGTAAATGCGATGTCTCTCCATTCCACAAACACTGACTGAGTACTACCATCTGCCCAGGTGGGAGCCGGGCACTGGAGAAACAACCTGAAGGATCAGCTTCAACTAGAGCTCAGATCCCTCAACATGTGGCTTTGGCAAATGCTTAGAGAAGATGCCCTAAGCATGGATTCTGCGAACAGCACGTGTAATTCAATGAGGGCATGCTTTCGAATCAGAAAAATCTGACTTTGAATTCCATTTTTCCCACTCACAAAGGGTGGGATCACAGGTAAATATCCAAACCCTATGGGTCTCACTTTCCGTATCTGTAGACTATGGGTCAGACTTCACTTGAGATTAAAAGAATGATAGATAATACATGTAAAGAACCTGACATGGGAGGTATTGAAGGAAATTTAGCTGCTGCTGCCACCACTATAACAATGATGATAATGATGATGATGATGGCGATGATGAATGTGGTGGTGATAATGATGGTGATAGTGATGGTGGTGGTGGTGGTGGCAGTGGCAATCACCCAAAGTCTTGTTCAAATATATTATCTTATTTTTGGGTGTTCAATGTTAAATGGGGAAAAATAAAAGCTGTGTGGGGTGAAAGTCCTATGTTAAAATCAGTTAGTACCTCTGAGGGAACACAAACCTGCTGTTTCACATAAGAATATCTATTAGATTCTTGAGTACATGCAAACTCCTTTAATAAGAAGCATCGACTCAAAAGACTTACTGTAAGTTTTATGGCCTTCTCTGGGGCAACTCCCAATAACTGTGGCAACAGACCTAAAAAACAAGAAAAAGTAGAAGTATATTAAATAAATTAGCATTAACTAAACAAGTGAACAGCTCTAAAGAGGGGATCACCATCTAAAAATTAGGGCAATCTTTGCTGCAATTTTAAGCTATTACTTTTTTTTTAATAACTAAAGAACATTTATTTGTTTTTCACAAAGACCTTGGGGACATAACTAAACTGTGTCACCACCCCCGACTCCAACTTGAAGAAGGGTTAGTACAGTGAATGCTATAGAGCAGGCATGAACAATTTTTGAAGGAGTGGAACCAACATTAGCTGACAAAGAACAACTTCCATCTAAATAATCATAAAAATGTTTAAGTAAAAAAAAAAAAAACCCAGGAAAAAAAGAGGGGGCAATGGGCTTTCAGATTGAACCAGATCCTCACATTTCACCTAACACATTCAATCCTGGCTAGAATGGACAAAAATGGAAACAGGATTACGAGAACACAGAACTTCCACTACAGCACGCTGTACACACCTGTGTTCCAAACCCACCCCCATCCCCTTATTGCTTCTAACACAACTATTTCCCGGCCTGTTGGGCCTGCCGACGAAGGAGCACACAGATCTTCTCTTTAATCCAGTCTTTGTTATAAGGCTGGTGTGTCTGGGTATCAGCTCGGTAAACAAGGCAGCTGAGGTCTGCCAGAACATCAACAAAATCAAACAACTTGCTGATATCATATGTGATAGAGGGGCTGTTGGGATTCATTCTCTTCAGATGTTCTTCATACATTTTACAAATGCCTTCCATGCATTCATTCACAGATTCATAGTCAGCATAAGTTCTTCCTTCTGGCCTCTTGGTAGGCTGTACCAGCAAAATGGTGTGAGAGACATCGCGCCAAACTCTTTCACTGCAGCCGCCGCCGACACTCTTTACGCTATTACTTTTAATGAGAATATTCACACTGGAATGTTTAAGCACTAATGTCTAACTGCCACATCAGACCCAAGAAATTCCCTCTCACATTCTGGATTGTTTGCACGTTGGGCAAATCAACAGTATTAGCGATACAGGAAATCTCACAGATTCCATGGCAAGTTTGCTCTTTCCTTCTTGCCTCTTAAATAAGTGAACTTTAGTGAATATATTACTTTTTACTAACACTTTTCTCATCCTCCCCATTCCCAAATGCCCACAGTTTGGCCATTCATTCATTTAGCCACTATGACTTGGTGAAAAGTACAAACAAGGTTCTCGATCTGACTGGTGTCAGATGGAAGGAGGGGAGAGGACTTTCTGAAGAAGTAACCATCGGAAAAACTGCATTCCAGGAAGGGGAACAGATAGGGCAAAGAAAGCAGGGTAGGAACAACTGGGCAGAGATGAGGAAGCCTGTGGAGAGTAACAGGTTGGGACAGAAAGTGAGCAGCTCTGTTTTGGACATGTTGGGATGAGTGGGCTTTACTAAGAGTCAGGGCACAAGGGGGAGATGTAGCCTTTAACCGGAAAGGGCCACTTCTAGAAAAGGAAGCTACGACAGGAGTGGACCTACACATCTGAACTAAAAAACGTTATTTCCATTTGTTCTAAGATAATAAAATCAAAGATAGGGGCCTTTTCTTAGAAACACACAGTAAGCTAACCCCAAGGATATATTGCATATATAATCAGAATATATTGTTCCCTGTGTCATACTGCTGTCCTTGAGAGGAGCTTCATGGTGTTATCCTTCATAAGTATAATTTTCTAATTCATCTATACCAGAAGGTCCACTTGCAGCCTCTTCTGAGAGACCAGCCCTGCCCACGCCATCTTCCTGAAACAGCGGCCTGTGGCCCAAAGTCACTAGCTCTGGGGCTGTATGTATCAGTCTACAGGTATTTTATTGAGTAGCATAAGGTTTCAAACATAGTTTGCACTTATTGTAAAAACAGACAGACAGACAGGCAGACACATAAACAGATCAAGCGATCTGACAGCTCCGGGCCTCTTTCTCGTATCACAGCAATCTGCTTCAGTTGGGTGAGGCTCTGGCCTTTAGACAGGACCCAAGCATCCATTCACCAAGGTCTCCACCATGCCGACAAAACAATGCAGACAAGCGCTACTTGTCATTCATCATTTTTCTTGCTCTGTTGATAGTCTCATAATAGAGGAACGTTTCTTTGTGTTTGTGGCTCTACAAAAAGGGGACAACTGAAAACAAGACAGTTTCATGTTTTAAGAAAAATGAAAGAGAGCTCATTTCGTTGTGGAACTAAATGATGATGAGCATGCTAATACTAATGAAAATGTTCTTAAAAAGCAGCTAAAATATTATTTATTATGTGTCAGGCACCATTTTAAGCACTTTACTAACTCATTTAATCTTCATAACCACCCTACAGAAAGAAAACTGAGGCATACAGAGATTAAGTAATTTGGACTATATTATCCCGATGATGATAAATGGCGAGACTGGAATTCAAACCTAAGCCTTTATACTCAAGAATCTATGCTTTCAGACAACACTCACTTTTGTCCTGTGCCTAATATGCAAACGTGTATCTGCCTCTCACACTCATACTCATAACCTGCCTGGATCCTATAAACACTTGAGTTTGCAACGTCTTCTCGAGGCAGCCATATTTGGAGCCTGCTTCATCCCCAGGACCACAGCTGACTGGACAAGGAGAAGACATCCAAAAGACACGTAGCCAATGAGTTCAGCAACCTGGACCCTATGACCTGGCACCCACAGGGGAGCTAGCCAGTCAGGATCCTTCTTCCAGGAGCATGACAGAGTCCTTAGGTGATAAATCAATTTAAAACAGAGGCAGAAACTGAGAAGATGCCATGTGGAGTGGGGAAAGCAGCTAGTTGAAGCCATGTGTGTGCTAATGCCATGAGGAAGGCGAAACCATGAATATAAAAAGGAAGTGGGTTGGCAGAGAGAAGAGAACGTGGAGCAAATGGAGTGGAGATACCAAAGGGAGAGGACACACAGCCCATGAAAGGTGCCCAGGTGGAAGTGCCGACCTTGACCATCTTCTGGGCCACTGAGACCAGGTTCCAGTGAAACTTCTGCCCTGGGATCCCTATGAGATCTCTGCCTTCTCTCTCTCTCGCATGTGAACTCTTATAAGAAGTTCCTCTATGCTTCTGCTAGCTTGAGTAGGGCTATGTTCTTCACAATCTGAATGAACCAAAGCAGCACAGAAAATATGACTATGAAACCACCTGGGCAAAGCAAGTGCTCTTATTCAAAGTAAGCATTCTCTCTTCCTAAACTACAATCACTTATTAATCTTTTACTGATACCAAATAATATGAGATAATATATCTATAATATGACAAGAAAGGCTTTATTATTACTTTATGAAAGTACATTAATTTCTAGTAGTAAAATGCAGGGATAAGCTGTTTAAACGACATCTTAACATTTACAATTTCCAGTTTAGTCTCTGCATTCAGGTCAAGTGCCAAAATGTTTAGTTAAATATTTACTTGCTAGAAGTATTTTTCTCATCATTAAATTGTATACCAAAGCCATGGATGGGTGGAAAGCACTGTGATTTAAATGATGATCTCTTGTCTCTGTAACTACCCTGTGACAGTCTTTTTAAAAGACTAATAAAAAACTGCCCACAGAGCCAAATGACTACAGTGGTAGATATAATCACTTCAGTCAGCCTTTTAAGCTACTGAGATGTGTCTTTCTCACTATAAATTTACTAATGCACAGTGAACAGCAAAAGACAAAAGAGAAAACCATGTACTTAAGACTCAACAGAGGACAGCAATATTTATTTGTTCAGCAAACATTTAACAAATGACTTTTTGTGCCTGATAGTGAAAGGAACTGGGATGAACACAGTACAATCTGTGCCGTCCCCTGGAGAAATTCTCAGTTTACAAGAAAAGGGTACCCTAAGTGTCTCTGTGTGCCAGAAAGGGGACAGGCCACCTAAAACCATAGTGGTGAGTACCATAGCCCAGGGACCTCAAAGTACTATGGGAACACAGTGGAGAGAACCATTTGTTCTACCTGCAGGAAGGAGAAAAGCATCAAAGAAGAGGAGATACTTGACCTGGATCTTTAAGAATATACAGAGACTCAGTGGGGATAAAAGACAGGACTCAGAATGGAGGGCAAGGTGGTCCAGGCAGAGGGACTAGCAAGTACAAAGGCATCAAAATCTCAAGATCATGGCACATTTAGGGCAGGATCATTGGAGGCTATGGTTAGATCACAGACTTTGTAATAAACAGCAGTAGGAGCGGTAATGCCAACATCCAGTATTTAGGGGCACTTACTACACACCAGGCAGTATTCTCTGTGCTTTATGTGGATCAGCACATTTAACCCACACAACAATAAACCAATACCAATAAATCAGTGCATGTTATTCTTGTCCCCATCGTCAGATGAAGAAACTGAGGCAGACCTCATGGAACCTGCCCAAAGGCACTCAGTTGTCAGATGGGGGTGGGGTGGGGTTCAACCCAGGCAGTCTGGCTCTAGGGGTGCTCCCACCTGGTACACCGCATTGCTGCCCTTCCAAGCCACACTAAGGAGCTTGGATCAAATTCTGTAGATGCATGGGGTGGGTGGCTTTTAAAATAAAGGGTAAAATTTAAAAGTAAAAAGTTCTAGAGGCAGGTGAAGGATGGTAAAGGGCAGAGACTCACAGCTGGCAGAGTAATTAGGAGGTTAGAAAGTAATATAATCGGAGGCTCCGAGTTTTACCGTATTAGTTGAATAATATTCACCTAAATAATAATATTATAGTTGAATAATATTCACCTAAATAAGAATATAAAATCAAAGTACAAATCTATGCCTAAGACCTGGGCCAGAGGGGTAACTGGGTAAGTACCATTCTTGTGGTGACTACCCTGGCTCAACAGGGAAGCAAAAGGTGCTGTGGGGACCATCTGGTTGCCACTACAGATATGGGCCTTGATACCATTCATCCTGGGTAGATGGCCTTGAGGAGTGGTCATGATCTGTAGGACAACGAAAAGTCACAGAGGTGGGAATTTCAACAGCTC